AGGAGGAGGAGGAGGGCCCGAGGCCCCAGGCGCCTGCGCTGCGCGGGGCGACACCGACACGCTGGACCAGCGCCTGGCCACCTGCGGCACGCTCGCGTCGAGGGCCGCGACGGGCGGACCTCTCGGGGGCCCCCAAGGCGGCGTCGATGCCGTCGCTCGGACGTCCACCTCCCGTGCAGTTTGTCGGTCTCGTGCGTGTTTTTTTTTGTTCTCGATGGTCCAGGATGGTCCTCGATGGTTCTCGCCGAGGCAAAATGCACACGTCCGAGCGATGCCAGGGTGTGGTGGCAGACCGTGCGCTGACCTCGGACCCTCCAGCGACTTCACCGTTGTGGAGGACGACCAGTGAAGAGGAAGCATGCTGCCAAATACTTCCGAAAGGTCTAAAACATATGTTACACATGTTTGAAACATGCTTCAAGCATGTAAAACACCTGTTTTAAACATGTTGAGAACATCTTTCGACATGGGTATCACATTCTGAATTCAATGATGGGACTGTTGGGGTGTCTATTGTCGTGGCACCCACAACCTTACCGCACGGTCCGTCACCGCACGGTCATGCTGAGCATGTTCTCAGTGTGGAGGGCTTAAGGTGAAGTCCATATGGGCTTTTGCACCTCGAGAATCAGTCCGTCTTGCGATTCACCTTTTGCAGACTCAGGCCAATAGCATCCATCGAAGCGGCCTTGGCCCTCCACCCAGGGAACATGCTCGGTTGCACGGGCCTCGAAGACACCAATCGCTCGCCACACCCTCGGACGACGGCCAGAGTCCCCAACACCGCGCGGCGAACCCAGATCCCCACTCGGGGATGGACAGCACCCCCCTTTAGTAAAACGTGGTTTCGTGAAAACGACCTCTGGCCCAAGCCTGGCGGGCGCAGGCCTGGAAAACGACGGCCGCGGCGCCCTCGCGAACCCCCGACCCACTGATTCACCCCCCGACATCGGGGAGACCCCTCTAAGACCTGGCTGCGCGCTGGTCAGCCTGCGGATCTCGTCCCGGGCGATCTCCAGCTCGCGGTCCTCGCGCGCGCAGGACCCAGGCCCCCTAGCGTCGAGAAATAGCAAAACAAGTACACAAACAAAAACCCAATCAATGGATGGTTTGAAATGGGATCGATCAAGAGATCCATAAGGAGATCGACCAAGAACCTGGGAACCCGGAACCCACCAAACTCGGGCCAGAACAATAACCAGGAACCTGGGAACCCGGGAACCCAGCCGGCCATCAAAATCGGCGGGACACTTTCGCCAAATCTTTCAATTTCTGCTAAGATCCCTTCAGTGCGAGCACTGATTGGAGAATTCATTGTCACTTTCGGCCTCCAGGGGACCTCAACGGGCCCCAAAGACCATCAAAAGACGGCTCGTGGTGAAGATCGGATTCCCGTGGAAGGGGTCGATGCTTCTCGGGGTCTCTATCGTGATTATCGTGAATAGGTGTTGAACATCCGAACCCTGCCCCAACCAGGCATCGACTCTCCTGATTCGATGGGAGGCGGAGGTAGGGTTCTGACGTAACCACATGCTCGACGAACTCCGATCTTTCCCCCGCCGCTCATCGACTTGCCTGGATCGTTGAGCAGCGAGGGTAGGGTTCGGACTTTGCCACCGATCTCTATCGCGATGATCGCGAAGACACCACGACATCCGGGGTGCATCGAACAGATTAAGACATCGCATGTCTGGGCAAAGGAGCCCCAGGATCTCCGACGATCAGTTTATGTCTGAACCGCGGCGTGCTCCCTGCAGCCTGACCCCATGGGCGCCACTTTCGGGCCCAAGGGCCATCAACAGAGGGCCTGGGACGCAAACCTGCCCCTGGCCAAGGGATCGGGAGTGCCGGCGCGGATGATCGGCGGGGAGGAGGAGGAGGAGGAGGAGGAGGAGGAGGAGGAGGAGGAGGAGGAGGAGGAGGAGGAGGAGGAGGAGGAGGAGGAGGTGGGGTGACCCAAATGGGGGGTGAAGAAAAGGACCCAAAAGGGCCCCCTTGGGAACCCTCTTAGGCCCGCAGGGGCCGCCGGGGGGGGCCGAGCGCGGATCCCAGAAATCCGCGCGGAGCGCCAACGGTCTACGTTTATGGCGTTGTTCCATCGTCGAATCAAGGAAGAGGACCGAGACGTGCCTTCTCGCATTTCTGCTTCCGACGGGCTCGCGAGGCCCCCCGACGGCTCCAATAGGGCGCCCCAGGCGAGACCCCGAGAGGTGCCGAGGGGAGGGCCCCCCATGCGTTCCCAAAGAGAGCTTCCAAGAAATCACTGTTCGACCTCCGACGTAAGGGGAATGTAATCACCCATCGGTCAGAAGGAGGCAGACATATGGAGTAGGAAGGTGTTGAAAATATATTGGGTGTCCGCCCGCCCCCTGAAGAGAACGGAAAGGGTGAAGCCACTCGATGAGTGAAGTAGGATGGCGCTTAAAGTAGATGGGAATCTGGGAATCCAAAGATACCTACTTTCAACAACCGATGGTAGAGTCCACCCGTATCACCAGGATGCGCGGTAAGGATGCAAGGACCTTGGAGGCCCACGTGAACGCTTTTCGAACGAGGTGGGCCACCGAAGGTCGCTGACGATGGGCCGGAGGGGCAATGCTGTAAGGGTAGCCCTTGGGAAGCTTGCCTATCGATGGCCTCCAGGATGGCCACTCGCGGGCCCGAAAGGCTCCACACACTAGCTTGAAAAGCAGCAGGCACACACCAGATGCGCAGCAGCAGGACTCCCACGTCCTTGCCCCCACGGGCCCCCAAGAGGGCCCCCCAGAGCCCCAAGAGGGAGCTCCCGAAGTGACCGATTTCACCATGGTTGGCCGCCTTGCTTATCTGCGCCCCTCCTCCAGACGACTCCCCTGGGTATCGCTTCTGGATGGGCCGGGGGGGATACGCGAAGCGCAAATCATCCAGACTTCCCCGCAAACTCCTGCGGACAAGACGCGTAACCAGAGCCATTCCTTCTCCTTGACCTTGACAAGGTGTGACACGCCCTCGCTCGGTCGTCCATTTCCCGTGCATTTTCCGGTTTTGTGCGTGCTTGTTTTGCTCGATGGCCCAGGATCGTCCTCAATGGTTCTCGCCGAGAAAAAATGCACACGCCCGAGCGATGCCAGGGTAACCCTTGGACGCATCGACGCTCGTAGCCTCGAACAACAACCTCGAAAACTACACACACACCTGAAATAAAGCTGAAACTGCACAACCAGAACCTGCGCAAACACAAACCGGTTCGCCCGCCCCAGTGGAGCCAAATGACAAGGGGCGGCACGCCCTCCTGGCCGAGGCGACGAACCTGTAAGCCTTAGACGCATCGACGCTCGTAGCCTCGAACAATAGCGAAAACTACTACACACACACACCTGAAATAAAGCTGAAACTGCATAACCTAGGGCTCCCAACTTCGCGCTTCGCGCTCCGCGAAGCGCGAAGCGCGAATAACTTCGCGCTCTCGCGCCGCCCCCCCAAAGGGAGAAAAGGAGGACGAGGAGGAGGGGGAGGAGAAACGAGGACCGCGAAGCGCGAAGCGCGAATGACTTCGCGCCCTCGGGGGAGCCCTTGTTCGCCCGCCCCCGTGGAGCCGAATGACCACTGCGATCCCTGCACGGAGGCAGCCCGTCGGCTCTCCGCGCGGAGCCCCGCCGCCAGGCGCACGCGGGTGTCTCGACGGCACGCGAAGGATAGCAGACGGGGCGGTGGATATGGATACTCCAGATTTCGTAATAAAGGGAGGGGGGTCCGAGCGCTGCCCAGAGGAGGGGGCGCGGGAGAGCGGCGTCTCGTCGTGTCCGGAGCAGGACCAGGTCGAGACAGCGTCGGCCCGCCCCGGCTCGCTTCTCGCGCACGTGTCGTTACGTCGGGCATGCCCCTCTACAGGGGGAATGCTCCAGATTTCGTAATAAAGGGAGGGGGGTCTCATTGCGGGGGGGGGGGTCTCTTCCAGGCTATCTTGGAGGGCCTGGGGGGGGTCTGGGGGCGATGTTTGGAGGGTTCTCCCACGGGGGGGGGTCTGAAATGGCTTGTCTTGGAGGGTCCAGACCCCCTCCCTTTTATTACGAAATCTGGAGTCTATACTTCGGCCCCCGGGGGCCCGAGTGTGTCCATGTCCACCGCCTGCCGAGGCTCCAAAAAACGAACTGACCCTCCAGGCGGTGGTCATCTATCAGTTCCCGCCTCGGAGCTCCGTCGCCAGGCGCACGTACAGGGGAGCAAGAAGTGACATAAACATAAAAACTCGGAGGTCCGCGCGGATTTCTCGGATCGGCGCTGGGGCCCCCGGCGGCGCCTCCGGCGCCGCCCCTGGCGCGCTCCGCGCGCCAGGGAGGGGGTCAAGCGCCGATCCGAGAAATCCGCGCGGACCTCCGAGTTTTTATGTTTCTGTGACTTTTTGTTCCCCTCCTGACCTGGGTCAACCCAGACCCGGGTCAGCCAGGGCTTGCAGAATCCTGCAAGATCCTGCAAGACCCTGCACCCAAACCCGGGTCAATGCGCAAGATCCTGCAAAATCCTGCAGGATCCTGCGCCCAAACCCGGGTCAATGGGAGCCTGGCCCTGCAGGATCCTGCAAGATCTGGCGCTCTGGCTGACCCCCGTTTGCATCGACCCCCGTCCCAAAGCTCCCGAGCGGTGGTCATGTATCAACTCCCGCCTCGGAGCTCCGTCGCCAGGCGCACGTAGGCGTCTCGACCCCACGCCGCGGCAGAAGGGAAGCGCCGCAGCCGCGGCCGCCCCGGGGAGTCCTTGCGCTCCACGGCCCCGATGAGCGCCTCCATGCCGCTGCGGATCTCCCCCGTCTGCCGCTCGAGCAGGTCGGCCCTGGTCGGGACCGGCCAAGAGAGGGGTGTCCAAGAGGGGGGGGTTCAAATCATGGCCAGCGGCATGTGCGCGGCCCAGCGGGGGGGCCAGGGACGTAATGAAATAAGAAGAGGCGCCATTAAATCTGGGGAAATATCATGGCCCCCGCCATGATATCCACCCCCCCCTAGTCATCACCCCCCTTTTTGCCGCCGCCGACCTGGCGCGCATGGCAAGGAACTGCGCCTTCCAGCTCTCGTCCTGCAGAAAAACTTGGTTGCATCAGCAGGCTCGGGGATGGACAGGCCTCCCTTTCGTAAAACGCGGTTTGGTGAAAACGACCCGAGGCCCAAACCTGGCGGGCGCAGGCCTGGAAAATAACGGCCGCGGCGCCCTCTCGAGAACCGAAAACGTACAATTCACTAATCGACGTGTCACTGTTGGGGGTTCTGTCCACCCCCGAGATATAGAGGTCACAAAAAATACCCCCAGAATAACCACCCCGATGCGCGAAGTCGTCTAGCAAACGCCCCCAAGGAAGGAACCGAACAGGGCAGGCTGTGTAAAAAAGCGCCGAGGGCCGTTTCGTAAACGCCACATGTCGGATCCGGGTGGTTCTTGAATAGACATCTGGTGTTCAGCGCGGAGCTAGTTCTGAAGGGGCCCCAGGACACACAAATAACTACACACAAACAAAACGATTCCCCATATTTTCCTATATCTTTGGGTTTTGTGTCTTCCCCCCCCCCACTCCCCATATTTTTTGCATAGTTTCCTGAGCATCGGCGATTCATTGTGTCTGTGTGTGTTTTTCCCTCCTGAAGCTCTTGGCTCGGCGCGGGACTCCTACCTGGCGCCGGGCGGGGGGTGCCGGAGGCGCCGCCAGGGGGGGGGCCGGTGCCGATCGGACCAGTCTGCGCGGGCCGCCGCTCATGTTCTGTAGCGTTTTGGGGGGGATGCAAGTGCTTGGAGGTCCTCGTGAGCACGATCATAGGGAAAAAACAAACCTGCCTCGCTTTTGACCACCCTCGCTTCCAAGAGATACCAAACGATGCCAACTTGCAGCCTGTACTGGTCAGGCCGCTTGACGAGGAGGCGCGTGGTATGGCTTGGTTTTGCCTGGAAGCGAAAGCGGGGTAGGTAATTTACGCTCTGAGATCAGGAGGCCTACTGGGCCAAGGCGGGGAATCATCAAGCCAAAGAATGCCAGAGGTAGGCCGGATGACACTCGGTTGAGCGAGGCTGAACGGGATTCGGCTGGACTTCGACCACGGGTCTGCCCGCGCCGATGCCAAAGCTCGAATCTCCCAGGAGCTGCATTCTGCCTCGGCTCCTGGGCCTGCCTCTCTGCAGCCTCGCCCTGGAGCCTCGAGACGCTGTCCTGGCAGGAGAACCGAGACTCGAATCGATAAGTCGAAGCAGCGACCGTCATGAATCGGATCGGCGAAGATCGGCAGCCGAGTCGGGAGAGATAGGGGGCCACATGCGAACCCTACCCCTACCCCCCACGATTTCTGAGGGGGAGGGTGGGGTTCACTTCGCTCGGAATGCTCCCAGACGAAGTGAACCCCACCCTCCCCCTCAGAAATCGTGGGGGGTAGGGGTAGGATTCGCATGTGGCCCTCAAAGAGAGCGAATCGGCGAGAATCGGCAGGCTGGTAGGCCTTCACCGAGAAATCGGAATCCAGATCGGACTCCGAAGGCGAATCGGACCGGAATCGGAGGCCATCGAAATCGAATCGCATCCGAGGAATCGGAAGCCATCGAAATCGACTCGCGTCCGAGAAATCGAAATCCAAATCGGAATCCGGAGGTCGAATCGGCTCGGCCTCGGACGCGGTCGACATCGCATCGCATCTCCGAGGCATCGGCACGAGCACCGTCCTGGCCCGCGGGCGCGGAGGCCGCCGCCTGGTCGCCAGCCCGCTCGGGCGCGGCCCTGCTCGGCGCCCTCGGCGCCAGCAGCACCGTCGGCGGGGGCGCCGCGGCGGCGGCGCCGTCGCCGCCGCAGCCGCCTCGGGAGGGGGCAGAGGTACAGGTCAGTTTATATATTTATATCTATATATATATATATATATATATATATATATATGTATTTATATATATAAATGTATAACAAAAACATGGGATTAAAAAGCACAATGGATGTTTAATACATGATTCATGTATGGATAATTTCGTGCATGAGCTCATCGCTGTGTTTAATGCTAAATCCCTGCATTGTTAGTACATGATCCGCACGCGGAGCATGCATTAGAAACGGCACTGTAGAAGAAACACGCCCACTCGTGAACGTTTCCTCATTCGGCGTTTCGGCATGGGGCGAAAGGGGGAGCGGGTGGAGAGGGCGGGGGGTGGTCTGGCTCCGCACCTCCGCTTGAGGCGACTGTTTGGAACCGCGCGTCCCCTGGGGGAGACTCCACCTGCCCGAAACAGCCGCCCAAACCAGCCGAGATCTACTCCATGGGGGGGGGAGGGGGGGTGCGAGGGCCCGCGCCGACCGGCGAAACATTGAATAAGAAAACGATCACTATGCACACACACACACATGCACACACGCTTGTTTTCCTTCGCGGGTGGTTCATCCCAACGCCACGAGGGCAAAAGCGGGAAGCGCCAGAGAAAGGAGTGCCGCCAGACGTGCGCGGAGCGGGGACACAACCGACAACAACGGAGGAGAACGGAGGCAGCTGGACGTGTGCCGAAGGCCATGCACGCCAGGAAACGGCATGCGGAGAAGGACAAAGGCAGGGCGCGTGCACGGCACAGAGTCGTGGCTTGCGACCCGCTGGGGACCGACCGCCAGCGGAGGCAGACCGCGCGATCCTGGACAGGACCACCCCGAGCCTCATGTTGCTCCCATCGAACTTGAGGACCACATCCCGGCAATCATCTCGAGCACCCGCAAAAGTGTGGAAAGAGCGTCGAGACAGTGCCGAACGAGTCTCTCCCAGGGCCCGACACCTTGGTGATATTTTTCTTGGGGGTATTTTTCTGGTGATCGAATTTCTTTCTGGCGATCAAGGCTAAAGTAGGTTGGAACCTCCTAACCCGAGCCCAGGATCGGTGCACGTGTCCCCCCTGCTTGGCCAGGGAGGCGCGCACCGACCCTGGACCCAGCACGGGTCTGGCCAGGATCGGCGTACAGTCGGGGCGTTGACCTAAGGAACCCTAAGCAAGGAACGAGGCCCCTTGTTCCCATAAGTTGAGTTTTTGATTTCCCATGGAAAACGAAAGGAAAACCCGAGGCAAACTGTACAACAATCAAGGAGCACCGAGCCCCTCCCCTACGAAAAGGGTTTCTTCTTCAGCGCTCCGACTGAATGTTCACACAACTCCCACGCGCCACGACACGCGGGCCGTCGTTCCGACTGTGCGTGCTCCTCCTGAAGCTGACTCAATGCATCGAACCTCCCTTCACAAAGCCCGACCAGCCATTCTTGGGGGAGCACGGGTCTCGTGGGAGCCATGACCGCCCTCTGGGATGGCATTTCTCCTTCATGCGAGTTCCAGCAACTGCGCCTGAGACTCCGCATTGTTGTGACGCTGTGGGGCAGCAGTGGCGGCCTTGAGCTCAGCCCGCAAGGTGGCGCGAGACCCCTGGCTGGACAGGACCCGAAAGCCCACTCGATCTGGCACAGGGGTGACCGTGGCACGCCAGCTGGACGCCCCTAGGGGGCCACATGCGAACCCTACCCCCACCCCCCACGATTTCCGAGGGAGGGGGTGGTGGGGTTCACTTCGCTCGAGAGCTCCCCAACGCAGTGAACCCGACCCTCCCCCTCAGATTCTCGCCGATTCGCTCTCTTTGAGGGCCACATGCGAACCCTACCCCTACCCCCCACGATTTCTGAGGGGGAGGGTGGGGTTCACTTCGTCTGGGAGCATTCCGAGCGAAGTGAACCCCACCCTCCCCCTCAGAAATCGTGGGGGGCGGGGGTGGGGCTCGCATGTGGCCACCCTATCTCTCCCGACTCGGCTGCCGACCTCCGCCGATCCGATCCATGACGGTCGCTGCTTCGACTCGTCGATTCGAGCCTCGGCTCTCCTGCCAGGACGGCGCCCCGAGGCTCCGGGGCGAGGCTGCAGAGAGCCAGGCCCAGGAGCCGAGGCAGAATTGGAAACGCAGCTCCTGGGAGATTCGAAATTTGGCATCGGCGCGGGCAGACCCGTGGTCGAAGTCCAGCCGAATCCCGCTCGGCCTCGCTCGGCCGAGTGTCGTCCGGCCTACCTCCGGCATTCTTTGGCTTGATGATTCCCCGCCTTGGCTTACCATTACCAGCCTCGAACGTATCCCTATCCCCAAGATTGACACGCCAAAAGGCGATGACAGTCTTAGGGATCCGCCCTCAAAAAATGAGGGGATCCTCAAGATTGGCATCGTGATGAGGAGATGCCCAGCATAGGGATAGGGATATGTTCCAGGAGTCGAGGCAGACTTGGAGATTGACGCGCCGAGGGGGGGCGCCCCGCTGGCGTGCCACCCGTGCTGCCTCTGCTCCCCGCCCCGCCCTGGCCCCCGCGGGCGGGCGCGCGCGCGCGCCTCGGGCGCGGGGCCCCCGAGGCCGCGAACCTTAATACGGGGCGAACAAACCTGCCTCGCTTTTGACCACCCTCGCTTCCAAGAGATACCAAGCGATGCCAAACTACGGCCTGTACTGGTCAGGCCGCTTGACGAGGAGGCGCGTGGTGGGACTTGGTCTTGCCTGGAAGCGAAAGTGGGGTAGGTACTTCACGCGCTGACAACTCAAGTCGGGCCTGTCCCCCTACAGGGGGGTCGTCGACGAAGAATTGAAATTACCCCAACAATAATCCAAACATACTCTGGGGACTATGTTTTGAATATGTGTCTTGACCCTCTTGGGGCATTTTTGGGGTGTGTTTGATTTTTCGTCAAATCTCCCCCTGTAGGGGGACAGGCCCGACCTATCGCGAACCTCAGATGGTGAAGGCTCCACTCGTGATCCATGGCCTGTCCGCAGACATCCGCCGCTGTGACTTCTTCGGCACGCGGCCCCGGAGCTCCAGACCCCGTTCCCCTAGGAGTTACTTTTCTGCGACCTGGATCCACCCTTGATGGCCCTGTGGCCCGCAAGCGGCTCCCAGAGGGCCGAGATATCAGAGAAGAACCGCTCGGGATTGAAAACAACGTGTCTTCGGAGATACACTCTGCGAAATGCTTAAGAAATCATGGGTTAAGAAATTCATGGTCTCAGAATTTGAATAAAAACCCAACATTTCCATCAACATCTTAAGATTTACATTGAAACGTTAAGAATAATCGAGACTGTGGCCGAAAACTTAAGTTTTCTTAAGCATCGCCTAAGGTGTACTAGGGGATCCAGAAGGTATTGACGATCACCGCTGCTCCGCGGACCTCTCCGGAGGTGCGCTCCGACGACAATCTCAAAGCGGATCCAGCCGTGGCGACGAGGACCTCTCATGGGGGCCCGGAAAGGCAAAGACGAGGCAGGGTCAGCGGCATCGGTAGCTGACTACCTACCAGACCACCCCAACCCAACCCGAAGACACGAATTTCGGGTTGGGGGGGGTACGGGTTCCATATGTGTTTTTTCAGTGTTCCCCGACCACCCCAAATGGGAAATGGAGGGCAAATTGAGGCCTTCGGGTTGGGTTGGGGTGGTTTGGTGGGTGGTGAGTAGCTGTTCTTCCTCTGACGCTCGACCGGCATCACATGGCATGCACTGCTGCTGCCCGCCCACCGCCGCCACCCTCGCGCGCGGGCGCGCGCCCCACCTCGCCATCATCCCCTCTGCGCGCGTCTCCTTCGCACGATGATCCAGGATGCTCCTCCCCAGAGATCCGACGTCGTGATTTGTTCAATACGCGGTCCCCCAGAGTCTCGACCCATTGCCCAGGAGCGTTTTTTCATCCTGAGTCGTTTTATGACAGTCCCGGGGCCCGGCGAGGACCCCTAAAGGCTGAAAATTGAGAAAAACTTGAGTCTTGGTTGTTTGAACACATCGGATCTCTGGGTCGATGGCCCACGCCGAGAAACAGCGCACACGTCCGAGCGATGCCAAAGCCAACGCCCGCGCGCATGGCGACGCCGCGGGAGCCTCCGCCGCCCGCCGCCGCGGGCTCGGCGGCAGCGCCAGGCGCGGGCTCGGGCGCGGCGGCCACGGGCTCGGCGGCGGCAGCGACCCGCGCGGGGCCTGGGAGGAGGAGGGGGAGGGGGAGGAGGGGGAGGAGGAGGAGGAGGAGGAGGGAGGAGGAGGCATGAGGAGGAGGAGGGAGGAGGATGAGGAGGAGGAGAGGAGGAGGAGGAGGAGGAGGAAGGAGGGAAGGAGGAAGGAGGAAGGAGGAGGAGAGAGGAGGAGGAGGAGAGAGGAGGAGGAGGAGGGAGGAGGGAGGAGGAGAGGGAGGAGGGAGGAGGAGGAAGGAGGAAGGAGGAAGGAGGAGGAGGAGAAGGAGGAGGGGGAGGAGGAGGAGGAGGAGGAGGAGGAGGAGGAGGAGGAGGAGGAGGAGGAGGAGGAGGAGGAGGAGGAGGAGGAGGAGGGGGAGGGGAGGTGGAGGAGGAGGGAGGAGGAGCCACGCCCGCGCGCACGGCGACGCCCGGGAGCCTCCCCCGCCCGCCGCCGCGGGCTCGGCGGCAGGGCCAGGCGCGGGCTGGGGAGCGGCGGCCACGGGCTCCGAGGCGGCAACGACCCGCGCGGGGCCTGGGAGGAGGAGGAGGAGGAAGGAGGAAGGAGGAGGAGGAGGAGGAGGAGGAGGAGGAGGAGGAGGAGGAGGAGGGAGACGGAGGAGGGAGGATGAGGAGGAGGAGGAGGAGGAGGAACAGGGGGAGGAGGAGGAGGAGGAGGAGGGAGCAGAAACAGCAGCTCGACCTCGGGGCAGTGCTAGACGAGCGCCTCCCGCGACTCGCAGCGGTGACTGCTCGCACAAAAGGCCCGGATCCGCCGCGAGGGGTCTACGATCCACTGCATCGAGGTCCCCCCTGCGTTTTTGTTTCGGACGTTGGCGAGCAGGCACTTTGCCAGCAGTGGACCGCGCTCGGTGAAACTGCTCGACTTCGGCACAATGCACGATCCGCTGCACCGGGGTTCACATATGACTTTCGGACGTTTGCGAGCAGGTACTTTGCGAGTAGTGGAACGCGCTTAGTAATTCAGCTCGCCTTCGGCGCAATGTGTAGCCTGGCGCGCGGAGCTCGCCAGGGGCGACGCCGGAAGCGCCGCCAGGTGGGTCCAGCGCGGATACGAAGAATCCGCGCCGGCCTCAGAGTTTTATGTTTACGTCATTCTTCGTTCCCCTAAGTCGAGCTTGTGCCAAACGACTTGCACATACAGCAGGACCCAGGACTGAATCGCATCCTTCGAGAACACGAGGCCCTCCGACGTCCAAGGGCACCCTCCCACAAGAGCCTCAAGAGAGCCCGAAGAACGCGAAGGTACCCTCCACGAGCCGACCTCGATCATCTTATGCCCCGGTCCGGCCGTGTAGAACTGCGGATGCCGCGACAGTGGACACCCCAACGGTCCTGTCATTTTAAATGAGAGATGTGCTGAACATTCAGGGGGGCGTAAGACGCGGGTACAGGGGACTCGGAAATCCCCGACGAGGTCGTCAAAAAAATGACGAGGTCGAGCCTGCATTTTGACGAGGCCTCCCGCTGCAGACATCCCACGAAACTCCTACTCGTCAAAATCCGAGTCGCGGTCGTCAAAAAAACGATGGCGAAACCGAGTCCT